CTGCAAGGATTTTGGGAAAGGGCAGGGGGTAAAAATTGTGCAAGGATTGCAATAAGGACACATGTAGAAGATGCAATAATGTAGAAACAACAGAATACAGTTTTATTTGAATCTCACTTCTTGTCCTTGTTTATTGGTCCCTTTTACTTTCTTCCTGAAGAAGATCATAGCTCCACGTGGCCCACGAAGTGATTTGTGGGTCGTTGTTGTAACTATATCTGCATACTTAAATGGTGACGGAATGACATCAGCAGCAACCAATCCACTAATATGTGCCATGTCAGCCAACATGACTGCTTTTTGCTTGTCACAAACCTGTAGAATTTCATTATAAAAAGAGTTACAAGATATCCAAACACTCTAGAATGCAACAAAGAAATGAAGCACTACCTAGAGTCTGTAATAGCACTGCAGTATAGGTCAAGTTTACCTTTCGAATCCGTGCATAATCATACAAGCGAGCATAAGCACTTGCACCAGCAACTATTAATTTGGGTCTGAAGAGTGTAGCACTTTGCTCCAGCTGCGGTGACGTCAGACAGACTCAATCAAAAGTCAGGTAACAGAGGTAAACTAACTTACCGCCCCCAAGAGACTACAAGCACCCATCACCCTCACCACCAGCACGAAATATATTTTGAAAACTGAATTAAGTATTGATAACAAAAAGATAACGTGAGTCACAGGAAATACATACAGAATCTCTTGTATAGGAAAACTATAAATCATACTTGAGAACAACACAAATGTTTAGAAAGCAATTTGAAGTTTCAATAAGTCTAGATACAAGTCAGAAGTGCAAATCATATGCTACCTACATCCAAAAACTCACAGTAACCACGTGATAAAGGACCATAAATTTGGAATGCACATATTTAGCATTATAATCATTAAAATACTGAACTCGGCAGGTCATAATTTTTAGGAATCTACACAGATGGTTTAAGTGATATAATTAAAGAAGAGTGGAGCCACATATTGTCATCAGGCAATTGAGTTGAATGGTATGCAAACACAAAAGGTTGTGAATGCCATTATAAAATCTGCAAGCCTGCAATTGCTGCTAAGTTACTTTTTATACAACCAATAGCAGTAACTAAATGTTTGTTTTGATAGCTAGAAAGGAAAAGAAAGAATAGTACAATAGAAAATGTTTGTTTTGCAATGCAACTAAGACAAGTTCATACACAAGAGTGAGGGCACATTTGTTAAAATTACAAGGATGTGGAATTGGGGCTTGTGGAAAAGTAACTATGAAAGATATATGTGAAATGCAAAAAATGGAAGATGAAGC